CCGCACCCAAGCCCCAAGAAGGGGGAGACGTCCCCAGAGAGCTGGTTCCACATCTTCTGCTAACAGGCACACAGAGGGCGGTTCTGCAGAGCAAGAGGCTGGTGCATGGCTGGTATTCGGCTGGGTTTCGGTCTTTTTCGGCCTCAGTCCATACAGCCCACGCCTCTCCCAGGGTGGGGCAGTACACTTGGTCCAGAGCAGGAACCAAGGAAAGCCCCCACAGACTGCCTGCACAAACCCTGCCCCTGCACATGCAGGCGTGGAAATGGTGAGCCAGACGAGGCATCCGCGCAGAATTCATAGTCAAGGGTTCTTCTTCTCTTCAGTCCAAAAGTGCAAAGAGCAATCAGCTCTAAACCAGCAGCCTTTCTTTCATTTGTCATTATGTTTCACACACAAGAAAATGTTAATGTCTAAAGATGGAAGGTGACGATGAGCACAGAGTTACACGTGTTTTTTTGGCAGCCCCGTCACCGGCACTTAGATTCACTTCTGACAGTTCTCCGAATCTAAAGACTGGTGCATCCTGAACTGTCATCTGCCTGGTGGCGAGCGATTTCACTTTGGCAGTATTTCAAAAGTAAAAGCGCTCCCTTTTTTCTGCATATTTTCGCTACCACAATGTTTCTCAAAGCCATGTACAATCCTGTGCTCCCAAGAGACACACAAAGTGCAGTGTGGAGTTCTGAATGGAAAAGTGCCATTGTTTCTGAATGTACAAGTGTTAAGAACTCAAATTCAGCTGCTAAAATCTAGGATTAGGGCAACACGGGCCCCAGCTCCTGCACAGTTTGGGTCTGGTGATTCCAAAAGGCACCTCAACTTGGTGATTCCAAACTACTTAATGATTAAAAGCTAACTGTCCCATTAGGGCATGGAAGGTGGTCCTACTCCGTGACAGTTGCTGCTCCTAGGGCAAAGCTGCTCACTTCCAAGGCTCTGGACACAGGGACTGGAGGGAACCCATGGCAGGAAGTGAACGCAAGACCCACCCAGGCGCAGGGCACTGCCAGGGACAGGGCAGGAGTCCGCCCTGGGCTGAAGTCCTGCAGCTGCCACTGACCGCCAAGTCACCCTGTGAAAGTCACTGGCCTTGTGTGAGTCTCAGTGTCCGTCCCGTAAAGGACACAAGGGTGTGGTGCCTACCAGGGAGGCTAGGGGCCCCGCCACATGGGCCCTCAGCTCTCTGCTGTCCACATGGTTTTGGGTCCATCACTTACCCTTCCCTTCCAGCCTCGTGTCCTGCTTCTGTGTGATGGCAACAACTACACAAAGGATGGCTTTGAGGACTGAAGTAGAAAAGGAGTACAGGCAGAGCATGCGTGACAACTGTGCTTAGTATGTGGCCTACAATAAGCCCCAAATCAAGGGGCTGCCACTTCTTCTTCTTCTATTTTTCCTATACTTAGTACAGGGTCTATAGGCTGTACAGGGTCTCACTACGTTGATGGAGCTCATAGTAATTCTCCTGCTTTCAGCTTCCCAAGTGCTGAGATTACAAGAGCGCACAACCACGCCCAGTCTCAACCCATCTCAGTGCGCCCTAGGGCAGGGCCAGCAAGGCAGGGCGGGATCAAATCCCAGCCACTGCGCTCTGCCTAAGCAGGCGCTTTAGTCCACTGAGCTAGCAGGCCAGCCCAGGGCTGTCACTTCTGCTGTGGTGACTGTTAGTGCCGTTCCCTCTGAAGCCGCTGCAAACACACCGGGTTAAGGACTCAGCCGTCAGCAATAAAATGCTGCTTGTTGACAACAGCGATTACAGCTCCTTTGAGGTTAACTTGGCTTCCAGGGGCCACCACCCTCTGCAGAGCCTAGGAGAGGCAGGCTTTGGCGGCCTCGCCAAATGGGTGTGAAGTAAAGGGACAAGCAGAGGAATGAATGAGGGAGGAGTCCACAAACAACCACCCCGGACCCTGCTGCTATTCCTCAAAGAGCTCTGGCCACTGTGAGCGCTGTGAAGGGCACAGAGTGGACCCGTCTGATCTGCGGGATGCCCGGGATGCCCAGCAGTGCCCGTGCATGGGCAGGACTGCACTCAGGACGGCAGCAGTCTTTAAAGATGCCCACCCGGAGTTCAGGATCAGGCCCCCAGTCACCACCAGTGAGCCTCCAAGAACAAGCACTGAGACAGTCAAAAACAGCACAGTGAGCCACCGAGGGAGTCGCAGGATCAGCATGGACGGTACCGGGGTCAGCTCTGTGCAGCGCCTTTTGATGACTTGCTCTAAGATCCCCTGCCTTCCATCCTTCATCTCCTTGGAGAACAGTAATTTGGTTGTTCCCGAGACACAGCCTAACCAAGGACACTGCTCTTCCACAGCAGAGCTCCTGGAAGCAATGTAGGTAATGATCTCAGCCTTGACTCCAGCTGCACTATGATGAACTGAGTCCTCCTGTTTTAAATCTCACCAGAAAAAATTAAGTTTATTCAGTAATGAAACATAAATGACTATGTTAAATAAGAAACCAGTATTGCTTGCCTATGTTTGAGGCCAAGTAAAAAATAAACACCTGGGAATAAACTATTATAACTCTGGTATGGCTAGGCATGGTCGCTTGCTCTAGCATGGGGTCTTCCTCCCTCTTTCTTTTTTCTTCCACTTCTACTTTTTCTCCTTCTCCCTCTCCTGCTCCTCTCTCCTCTCTCCCCTTTCCTCTCTCTACAGAAAAAGGAAGTCAGCCTGTAAAGGCCTCAAAATATGTAAGCACCACACCAAACTTTTCTCCTTCGGACATTCTGAAAGACTGAAAGAGGAGGAGGAGGAACCAGGAGCAAGCCTCTCTCTCTGCACGCAGGTGTGGAAGCACATCTGTGCACCATCTCCCATCCCCGCAGACTTTAAAAACTGGATGCTCCCATACTCTGGTTCCCAGGTCTCTGAAGTACTAGGTCACAGAGGGACTGTGTTCCTCGTGCAATGAAAATACATTTGTCCTCATATCTGAGAGGCACTGACAAAAAAGCTCTATCACCAGGCTGTATCTTACAACAGCCTAGCTTTTATTAGCCACTTTTACTAGTTTCTTAATAGTGTCTTCTTCTTTTTTTTTTAATCTGGAAAGCTGTTATTAGATTGATGACATGTCTCATAATGAGGGTGACTTGGAGTCAAGAAAGCACAGGACACCTTAACAGGGCCAATATAAATGAGCCTCCTGTGTGGACGCCAAGACAGCACCCCACTCGCGCGTCCTCCCAGTTGTGTTCATCTGATAAAGACATTACAATAGCAAGGAATGATGATCTATAACCCTCCACTGGAACACTCACACATTCTTGGCCTTGAATGCTTCAGCAAAATGCTGCACGCTCCGGAGCAGAGCAAGGTCTAGGGTCATTGCTTCTACCTTGGCTTTGTGCTGGAATGAGAGAAAATAAAAAGAAATGATAAATAACAGCAAGTTTAGTTCATGGTATCAAGTTACAGTAAATGTGTTATGGAACATGTCGGAATTCCCCTGTTTAATATTAGACGCCCAGAGAGAATATAAATCACTGGAATGAATGGAAGAGCAGGGCTTTTACTGCCAAGTTCAGGAGCATGTGAGGCTGGGATTCTGCTACATCTGCAGGGTGGGGGCTGTGCTGTGATTCTTGCAGCACGCAGAACAGGCTCCGAGGGTCTTCAAGCACACGTTATCGCCCCTCCACCTGAGTCCCTAAAAGCTATAAGGACAGAGGGCCATCAGGGACATGCCTGGAACATCCTGGGATACAGTGGACATTTTAATCTTGAGCTGCTTTCCAGCTTGCGAAATCTTTCCACAAAACTTGTATCACAATTGAAAAGCAATGAATCATTTACAGAAATATGAAAGCAGGCAAGACTTGTGTACACCAATGGGCCCTGGCTGGCCGAGGTCCTCGAGAGACCCTGGCTGAGTAATACCAGCAACTGTGGACAGGCAGGGCACTCACTGAGGATGGGATACTGACGACAGCCACTGTCCATGCAGCGTCTACCATGGGCTGGGCCTCTGCACACAGCCTCTCCGTGCTCTTGACAATGATGCAGTGCCACGCACTATTTCTTCCCCTTTTGCAAGGCAGCATCTTAGAAGAGACTATAGAGCTAACAAGGGGCCAAGGACTGACCCTGAATCAGTCAAACCCGGAACCCAAGTTCTTGGCAGGAAGCTAGGCCTGCAGAAGTCAGAATGTGACAACATCATCCTTCACTGAGCATGGTCCTTTGGTAGCCAGATCCCAAAAGACAGATCAAAAGGATGCCCCTCCGACGTGACTTGTGTTTATGGAGCACTCCCTACTTGCAGGACTGGAGGCACTTTGGGGTATGAGATGAAATATCAACCCTTCTTCAACCTACTTCCTCCAAAGGACATAAAGCCAATGATGTGGTGGAGGCTACATGTCTGCTTGGGTAGAAAGGTCTCCTTTGAAAGGGATGGCTAAACTGGGAATTGCAGTCTAGGCCGGGAAGCTTACGTAAGACTAAGGAGGATAATATGAAACCTCTAATGCTCTGACGCAGGACACAAATGGCTCTGATGAAGACAACCTCCACCCTGCCTTACTGCACAAGCTGTACGGAGATGTTTAGCGCACCTGCAGCCCATTTATCGCGGCTGCCTGTGTCCTGGGCTCCAACCAAAGCCCTAAACTTTGAACAATAAACATCAGGCGGTGGCAGCTGGTAAGCAGGCTCACTTTGGACCACTTAACATTCATGAGCCTCAGTTTCCTCACTTGTTAAAAACTGCATGGTAGTTATTTGCTCCTAGAGTTGTGAGGATGCGTGCTGAGTGCCTAACATCTTGTCTGGAAGAGAGCAGAGATTTAATACATTTACTTAGGAGGAGGCAAGATGTTTATTGTGCCAAGTTCTTGCCCTAATGCCAACTGGCAATAAAACAGTGGCCTTGGTAGGCTAAATTTCAGTGTGGAAAGAAAAACAATGTGCAAAGTTCCGCCCTGAAGACCATGGTGGTCCAGATCATGTTAGATCCTGGAGGACCTTGGTTATGTCTACCAACAGAGCCCAGTTTTAGGGAAACACTGTATAAAGTAGTACATGATTTGCCTGAAGCCCAGCAGCATCTCTGTGATAAAAGGAAGACAGACCAATACAGATACAAATTTCGGGTCTTCAGCAATAGGGGCAGATGCTCACACATGCAGATTCTGGAAAGAAAAGGAAAAGCAGCAACCTGACCCGTGAAAAATGTGCGATGCCCACAACGGAGTGTTGTGAGAGTTTCTGTTTTCTGGGATTCACAGAGCTGGGGAGAGGGGTGGTCCATGCAAGGTGAGCCTGGCACCACCCTGTAAAGAAGGAAACTGCTACCAAGACACTTGAAGGCATGTGGGTGACATCCCACCCTATGTTGACAGTTCGGGCACCCAGATGAGGAGCAAAACCCCACATTCTTTCAGTCCAAGTAGCAATATTTACCTGGTGGTTGAAAATCCCACTAAAGTACAAAGGCAGTCAGTGGTTAATCTATCCCTCATGAAAGTTCTTTCCCTCAAAGTATCTACTTGATCTGACATTCAGAGTTAGAAAACGAAAGGCCTACCAGTCTTGTCCTGCCTCCTCTGGCACTTGCCACCCTTCCCTCAGGGCAGAATGTCTCTGTCACCAACAGAATCTCATGGAAATTTGAAGGCATCACAAGAAAAGAGTCGGACATTCATGGAAGGGGACGGGGCACAACGGAGCTTGTTCCTCTCTGCCAAGGGCTATGCAGATTACATATTATAAAAATGCATATATATTCCCCCCATTGAACAGGAAGGACGTTCCCAGATGGGGACCCCAAAGCAATATTCTGAGGAAAATGACAGCAGGGCCAAGTGACCCATGCCTTCTTTTCTCTGCATCTCTTACCACTGGCAAGCTGTCTTTCCGTTCTCCCCGACTTGCTGCAAATAAAGCACAGAGCTGCCACCACCAATAAGAACAAAATCAGAACATACACATCCAGACGTAACAAGGGGTCACAAGCCATCAAGTAGTTCAACAGACTAATCCACAAGCTGTGGGTTACCAGGCTCCTGGGGATAGTGATTCAAGCCCACGCACCATTACTCAGGTAATTCTCCTGCCTTGGATATCAGGTTTCTGGTTTCTGCTATAGACCCTGAAAAATGCAGAGAAACTCTGCAAAACAGCGAGTCCAGGGGCAGGGCAGCACGGCTCTGGCAATTAGGACATGTGTATGTGTTTATGACTGCGCCTCTGTGTGTGCTGCGGATGGAACTGTCTAATAAAGTTACCCGTTTTACAGAAATGCTTAGCACGGCATAGGTTTTTAAGTGGAAATGTCGTGACTAAAAGACTACAAACAGAACCCTTTTATCAGGAGGGAGCTGCTGACTGCTACAGATTTGCCCTGCCCAAGCCAGACCTCCTGTGGGCCCGCTAGTGAATCTGTGACCGATTGTAATTCATCGTCTTGGTTTAGTTCAATGAACTTGCTCTTGTTAACTTTTTCTGAAACTAATGAGAGCTTTACAAGGAAAGGTCGCAGAACAGAAGGTGCCCTGGCACTCCTGAGCCAGCCTCACCCGACAGCACCACCTTACCTGTGGACCGCACATTACCAAAACCTGAAAGCCAACCCTGGTGGTAACTGACTGCACCAGTCTAACGTAACAAGGGCTTTGCCAGTTTGAAGATGTATTCATTTCCTTTCCTTTGCTTCATATATCTTTGTACATAATTCAATGGCACTTTGTCATGTGTACCGATGTGTGTAACATGATGAAGCTCAAGATACAAAACTGATCCATTATTACCAAGAAGCCCACAACTTTTATTAACTGCTGCTTCACTTAGCACATGGCATCTGAAACATGAAAAGTTTGTGTCTCATTTGGGTCAGATTTTGCTCTCTGGGTTGACAAAAGTAGCGCACACACACACACACACACACACACACACACACTATGCTCTTATAGCATGGAACAGTCAACAAGATGTGGTCCGAATTCTTCAGCGTGGTTAGCAAGACCTCCTGTGTCACTCAGGATGTGCCTCTGCAGGCAACAACCCCAATTCACCAAGCCTTCAAACAACCCAGGACTGTAACTGCTCAAGCTCCGTGATCACAAGTTGGTGGGTCCCACGCACTGCAGTGAGCCATAGGCCCCACAGATGGAGCCAATACTGTGGGCAGCCTCCACAGTGCTGGCAAGGAAATGCAACGGGTTGTGAATGGCTCCTTAAAGGTCTCCACGGGGCAGTGACAGGTGTGGCTTCTGCCCAGGTCTCACTGGCAAGTCCAGCCTTGTGCCTGGCTTCCAGAACTGCACTTCTTTTGCACTCAGGAGAGAACTGAAGATACATACTGAAGAACGGAAATGACTAACACACACACGGTCATCACTTGGCCCCGTTAGTCCTTCCAGGCTTATTCTGAGCCATTCTCTCCTTCCAACTCATATTAATTTTAGAAAAATTTAAAAAAGACAGATGAATAGAGAAACACAGCAAAGACAGCATCTGAAACACCAGCACCCTAAAACTTATACCACATATCCCCTTGCCCCTCCCTTTGTACCTACCCATCTCTCTTCCTACCTACCTGCCTATCCACCTGCCTTTGTTTAACATAAGGAACTTCAAACTGAGCACATTAAATCTTGAAAGAAAATGCATCTTTCAACCCTTCCTCAAATCCTCACAGTTCCCTCTAATCACACCAGTACGCAAACTGAACATCTCAGGCAAAATAGGAATGTTAATGTACCGTAATTTATGTATACAGATGCTACGACCCAGCATTTTGAAACACCCGCACAGGTGGCATCACACACCTGGAGCATCAGGCAACTTCTCTGGAGCTCGGAAGCCCACCTGCTCCAACACCAGGGCTCAGCTGGAAAGGCAGTTCGTAGCCTGCCTGGGGCTTAGAGGTTTCTGGGGCATGGCTGCACTTTCGGCCCTCAACTCCTCATGCCTGTCCTTCCTGGAGTTCTAAAAGCTGCAGGACACTCCAGGGTTGGTCAAGGCAGCACCACAGGGGTTGCTTGTTGTTGTCATGCAACAGTGATCTTCAGCACCCTTTTATGACTATAAATTAGCCAAGTATGATTCAGATGTGATACTGCCAGAAACCAAAGGGACCATTTGGGGAGTATGCAGTGTTTAAGGAGAAAAACAGTGGCTGGGGAGATGGCTCAGTAGAATAAGTGCTTGCCTGGCAAGCACAAGGGCCTGAGTTCAATCCCTGGTTCTGCCAAAAAATAAAAAATAAAAAAATAAAGAGAAAAGCAGGAGGACATCGTCATTTTTAGCAGAGACTGCAGAGCCAGACTGACCTGGAGGCACAGCTCAGTATGACCACAAGGCTGGCAACAGAAGGCCAGGGACGCTCTGGGCTTCAGCTGCCTTATT